GGGGGGAGGGGGGGCGTTGAAAACTCTCACTTCAAAATCACAGTAGGTGTACGGTCCTTTGTGAGCCACCTCCTGCGACCACATGTTAAATCAGACTTAACCTTTTAAAGCCCAAACTATGAAGAAATTACCAGAAAATTATTTTTTTCTTTTTGGTAAATGGAGGGTCTGTTGGACCTTATAGCAAATGTTTTAAATAAAATATTTATGTATGTATGTTTAAGTTTTAATTTCTGTTATATTTACATCTGACATGTTTTTCCTGCAAGTTATTGCTTAAGATGTGCCACATACTGGGATGAAAAATGATGTAAAAGTCTCAAAATCCCATATGTGAAATAGGATAAACTAGGCATTAAAGGTTAGGTAAAAAAGTAAGTGAGAAAGTGAGTAAGAAAGGAAAAACTACAAAAAAAAAGTGGAATTAGTTTACAGGCATAGTTCACAAATAGCAAAGTCCGTTCTAAATTACTACTTATCCTTTGTCAAACATAAAAAATGCAAATGTCAGCAAAATAAATTCCAAAACTTAAATGCAGCTTAAGGATTGGTTAATTTAACTTCTATTTTTTATTTGCGCATCTGAATTAATTTGACTTGTGTGCAAACACTTTAGAGATTCTGTAGGAGACATTTACTGTGTACTTAACTAGGAAGAGACAATTTTTTAAATTTAATTTTAAGTTCCTAGGCAACTCCTAAATGAGGTATTCAGGGCATGGCCCCCTGAGAGGAGGCCCTGGGGCAGAACCAGGATACACTGGGGAGATTACATCTCTTGGCTGACTTGGGAATGCCTTGGTGTCCTCCCCGGAAAAGCTGGAGGCTGAGGGAGGTCATGGGTGTCTCTGCTTATGCTGCCCCCATGTTCCGGACCCAGATAAACAGGATGGATGAATAGATATTTTATGCTTTCATATCATTTTAGATTAAAAAAATGAGTAATAATGACTGAATAGACAAAAGGTGGCTAAAATGGAGGCTACAATTTTCCACAAAGAGTGAATTTATTTCAGCCGCCCTAAGCTCAGAAAATGTAGAAAACTGGCATTAAAGGTCACTTGCACGTAAATCCGTGAACTTTACCACATGGAAGGCCACTAATGTAAACGCCGAGGTCTGCGGTTGTGTTTTCTTTGTGCCTGTCACTCCATCTGTCTCTGAGCTGGTCTCTGTCTGCTCTGATGGTTACTCTGCTCACTGTCATCAAGTTCACCCAGTCTCCTTCTCTGTCTCTCTGCAGGCCTCTCGGGTCAGGGGAAGGTTGATCCCTTGCATGCTAACTGTGGGAACCGAGGCATGCACACAAAACACGCAAATATTTAGAATGCCTCAAGTCCATAAAAGGTCACATGGAAACATGTGAGCAAAAGAAAATGGAGGGAGATGCTTGCTTTTTCTTGTGTGGAATGTTTGACGTCTCCATCGAGAGTTGTTTCTCTTAATGCTCTCACTCTTTCCATGGGTGATGGCACCCCAGTGGGTCACCAGCCATTGGAAGCATCACGTGCAGGAGTAGCTCCCGCAGTGTAAGCCACTGTTTGAGGGAGCAAGTATGGAAGTGGCTGTGTACATATTGTACTCAAATTGCAGCACAACAGTGAAAATCTACACCGTGTGCAAACTCTTTCCAAAATAAAACTCCCATATCCGCAATTCTAAAACACTGAGCCAGTTTACCAGTCGTTAGTGCCAAGTTGTATGTTTTCAGTGATTGTTGTAATCACTCTCCAAGAGATCACCTCCTGCTGTGGTTTGAATAAATGATAAATGATTTCCATTGGCACAAACATATTGTCATGGTCTCCATTTCCTGGTTTCTATTTGATTTCTGATCCCTGCTTGGATTTAGCTGATACTGTTCACACTTTGTCACTGTCCCCTTTGTCCTCACTTCTTTGTCCTTCTCTGTTTTGTCTGTGTGTTGGCTTCTTTGTGTGTTTCAAGTATTTGTTTTCCCTCCTTTTATTATTGTCACCTGTGTTCAGCTGTTTTCACCTGTAACTAATCAACCCTGTGTGTGTGGTCTGTCTGATATCCTCGTGTTGGTTATGTACCAGCCATGTTATAGTTTTGCAACTTGGAAAAAAGTCCACAGGGTTAGGTTAGGGTTATGGGGTTAGGATTACGATTTGGTGTGCGGTGTTACAGCGTTTCCACATTTAAAAACTACAACATAACTATATTGTGACTGGTCACTTTCGATGTTGATCCTGGACCAGCATCCAGGAACAACTTTGACACAACAATCAGATTGATTAAACCAGTTTACTGAACTTTGTGTATTTCTGTTTTTTTGGAGAAGGCATTAAAGGCTCAGATTGGTTTATTTAACCCACCTCATTGTTTTATGTTTGTGTCCTTTAAATCTCTTTCAGAGATTTGTGTTCTTAGCCACATGTGTCAGTCAGTGCATTTACATAATACAGAGGAAGTGTTTAGTTGGGGATTTTTCTTTTTACATTGGAACTAAGAAGAGGAATTACTAATTCCAGTGAATTGTTTGGATGACACATGCATAGCAACCAGACTTGGATACTGCTTTTAGTGTGCGTAAGTACACTTTATTGGTGGTTGCATGTTGGATTGTGATTTTAAACCAAGAGGAGGGTATTTTATGTCACATAGAGACAGTGACAGAACAGAAAGTAGTCTGATGCCAGTGGAGGTGTAAGACATCTGTGATTAGTGGTGGATTCAGGTTTTTTAAATACAACAATCAACTATTAACAGATATAATTAAAAACCTAATTAATGTCTTTAATTAAATTTGTCTGTGGTTAAATATTTTCTTTGATCAGATAAGGTTCTCTTGAGTTTAGTTGGCAGACGCCCACAGTGTGGATACCTGAGATGAACAAACCAAACAGCCACTTTGGCTCAAAGCCAGTATCAGGAGTGGACTTCTGACTGCTTTTTACACCTACCTGCAGGTGTTTGGGTTGAACTTCTTGCCCTGCCGCATGCACGACTCATGACTCTCTCTGCACTGACACAGACAAGTATCTGGGTTCAGAGGCTGGTGTCCGGGACATTCTGCAGCGCACACACAGCCGCAGAGATCATCATCCCACCTCTGGCCAGCAGGGCATGACTTCCCCTCGCCCTGACCTTCGCACTGGCATTCACCTGAGAGAAGATCACCGAGAAAACCGAAGAGGGAGAGGGATTTTATGAATCAAAATGAAACTTTATCATATATTGTGTCACACATGCCTGACAGCACTGTCGGGCTAAGTATTTGATGGTCGTGTTTCTACTTGTAAGACATTTGCATGAAGCTATCTTCCCCAAACTTCCCTGTATCTGTGTATTTTTGTCTCTCGAGCTTGCTCATTTACTGTCAGAGTGATGGCTTCATGGAGCATTTATTGTAAACTGCTCACAGTGAATCCAAAGGCTTGAGGAAAACTTAATTCTCAAGAGCTGCACATTGCCATTTTGCACAACGCAGCCAAAACATATTTAAATACAATAAATGAAACCCTTGCTTACAAGTGTTGTGGTCCAGTTTCCAGCCTGGATCACAGCTGGCTTCAGTGAGTCCATTTTGACAGATGCATTCACATGTGGACTCTTCCAGAACCCGATTGGGCCCACAGAGAGCCAGAAGGCCAGAGTCCAGCACTTCTGGAAAACATAAAAAAGTGAAAAATTGTTTTTTTTTTTCTTTTTCAGATTTATGAAATATTGTGCAGAGTCATGATCCCCAGAGGATGAAACACTGTAACTGTGAGGTTGGCATTTTCCCAGGAAGAGAAACAGATTCCTTTAATGTTGTTTCAGGAAGGCCATCCGGTGTTTGGCACTGACCACTGTGGCGATCCCTTACGAATAAGGGAGCAACTAAAACTAGCTCATCTATACAGACATTTGATGGATTGTCATGAAATATGGGTTAGGGTTAGATATTCAAGTTCCCCAGAGGATGAAATCTAATGCCTTTGATGGCCTCCTGATTACATTCAGGTCAACATTTTAATCTGTCCAGTACAAAAGATTCCCTGCAGCTGTACCTTGAACTAAGATTTGACTTCATGGTATGTCAGCTAAACATCAGCCTGTTAGCATGATAGTATTATGTTTGCAGCCTCCCAAAGTTTAGTGTTTTCATGGCTGTCAGTTTGGCAGGCAGCTACAGGAACTGTGGTTAAGTTGCAGAGAGACTGGCATTTTCTTTTCTTGGGACACATACCTGTGGTAAATCCAAAGAAGAGAATAGTTTTTGGTTTACACTTATACTAATGTTGCCTGTGGAAACAATAGTTCAAAGACGGACCTCTCAGTATAGATCAGATGAACAGCTATGAAAATGATAAACAATAATATATGTCAAGAGAGGTTACTTTAATGTAAAAAAGAGTGGTAGGAACTGTAGTTCACTACATGATTGTACAAGTAAAACGGCACAAAAACATTCCTGCTACAAATGAATAGGCAGTACCTCAGGGAAAGATTTGCCACCCAAACGCCATCATCATCACCATCATCATCATCATCTGGGTGTTGTTACTCAGTTTTTTTTATCTGGTTCACATCCCAAAACGTGCTCAGTGGAAGTTTTTTGTACTATTGTGCATTCCACTTCAGAGCCGTGACCCAATTAAAAGGACATGTCTTGTTTAAAGGACATGCCTGAGTTTAAAAAAACAACACTATTTCTAACACGTTGGAGTGTCCGTGCTGTCCATTACGGAGCCCCGCAGGGGACATGGGAGAAAAGAAAATTAAGACGGACTTTTGCGAGATCTCGCAAAACAAACTCGGGATCTCGCAAAGCTTTTGCGAGATCTCGCAAAACTTTTAGCCGCATTCTTCGGACGCCGGCTCGAAGCCGACCGGGAAGTCGAGGCACGATGTGCCGGGAAAGCAGTGTTCCTCCCGGCTGTAGTAGGTCTAGACCTCCCGTTAGCTTCGAGCTAACGGGAAGAATGCGGCTAAAGCTTTTGTGAGATCTCACAAAAGTTTTGCGAGATCCCGAGTTTGTTTTGCGAGATCTCGCAAAACTTTTGCGAGATCCCGAGTTTGTTTTGCGAGATCTCGCAAAAGTCCGTCTTAATTTTCTTTTCTCCTATGTCCCCTGCGGGGCTCCGTAGTCCATACTGCAGAAAGGGTGGGTCAGACAAAATATCAAACTCTGCAGTGAGATTTTGACCCGTGAATTAATCTCTGTTTTTCATGTCATCAAAATGATGCTCAAACTTTGACATCCTCATTTAAAGGCTTTATTTGGAACATAAGTCAGCCTTGTTCACTGGATTTACCACTTTGGTTTGATTTGCCAAAAAGTTTACTCTTCTATGACTCTTTTTCCACCATTGTAGTTCTGGTACCAATGCAGATCCCATTCTGTGTTGGTGCCTTTTGAGTACCAGGGGCTCAAGAGGATTCAGAACCAATTATTATGTTGCGTCATTAGGAGAAGTTGGGGTAGTGGTCTCCTTGGCTCTGGTGCTAGTCTTTTTTCAGTGCAAAAGGGTGGAGCTAGTTCTAGATTGGCCATCTGCGCCACATCAGTGGAAAAACTGTAATTGTCAGTTTTGTCTATAGTGGGTGTCAACCACATGCTTGAGAACCACTGATGGACTAGACTGAATATGCATCAGCATGAGTAGAAAATGACTAATTTGACCAACATGACTCATGCATGCTTACCTGCCTCTCTCTCAGGGTAGTTTATCGTGTCTGCAGAGACGCACACACAGTTTGCTGGATCCCATAAGCCCGAGGCACAGGCACGTTCAGGAGGAGAGCACCTATCAAAACACAGACACGCACTCACGCTATATTATAAATGCATGGATACACAAAAGAGTGAGTCATGAATGGCTGTAAAGGCACCCACACGTCACTCTTCACCTATCACTCCAACTCACAGGCGATCTGTTGCTGCTCGTCTGATGATGGAGCGGAGCGGCCGCTTGGGGAGGCAATCGCATGAAGTGTGGTTGATGAAGGTTACCGTGACAGCAGTGTAATCCAACCTGGACTGGGATCGTTCCATCAGCTAGGAGTGGGAAGAAGAAAGTTAGACGTGCATGTGTGCATAAAAATCTGCATTGTGGAAGGAATTAGTGTTTGTTCTTTTCTTTCCTGTTCTTCTGCTGCAGTACTGCTGATGTTTAGATGCTGATGTAATTGTTGTAAGATTGTGCAACTGTGCGTGACTCAACTGTGTATATTGTCTTAACATCATGTCCATTTGCAGCCAAAGGCTGTCCCACTGGAGTAGGGTGTGTTGTGATACAGACAAGCTGGTTACATAAATGGGCAGATTGGTTTCTGTCCTCTTTCCTGATGCAGTTTGTGGCGCAAGAGCATAAAATCTGGAGCAGAGTGTTAAATAATTCAAGCGCTGAAGAGTGTACAAGATACGGTGGCCCTGAGAGGCCAAACGGCCTGCAACTTAAGAAAACACCAGCAATAAGAAAAACGCTGCAAAAGCACACAAAACACAAAATAGGAAAAATGACAACGGAAATAGGAAAAACTAAAACAGAAATAGGAAAAAAAGCTGATTTCCAAAAGTACAAAGGAAGTGTTTCTGGGGAGACAATAACCCGACGGACCAGTTGTAGGAACCAAAATATGTTAAGTATTGTGCTGGGAGACACTTAAAAAAGTGGAGGATTTATCAGTTTTGTGAGGAAAGAAAAGATGAGAGGTAAGTGTGTTAACCTAACCATTAGCCCAAAAATCTGTCATCAGTATTATATGAATCATGATAAAACACGCCTACCATGTTTTGGGTTCCTGGAACTGGTCCGTCAATGGTTATTGTCCCCCCAGAAACACTTCCCTTATGTTTTTTCCTATTTCCCTTGTTGTTTTTCCCTATTTCTGTTTTGTTTTTTCCTATTTTTCTGTTGTCGTTTTTCCTATTTCCATTGTGTTTTGTGTGCTTTTGCAGCATTTTTCTTATTGCTGGTGTTTTCTTAAGTTGCAGTCTGTTTGGCCTCTCAGGGCAACCATAACAAGATGTTAGATACAAGGAGGTAAAATAGAGACTCCGGGTGCATGGCTTACCGTCTTGTTCACAAGAGCGTAACTTGTATTTGTGCAGTAAAAAGCTTCGTTGTTGCAGCATCCACTGCAACGATGCAGCGCCACACAATGAGGGAGGTAGAATTGACTGGTGGATTCTGGGTATTCTTTAGCGACTTCAATGCACACCTCTCTGGGCTGGCATGAGGTTCGTTGGATCTCCTCCAGGATGACTGAAAATACAGCCAACAATGCATGACAACAGGAACTGCACCCCTCTGTGAAGGCCACACCAGACATCTTTGAACCACACCTTCAGTTTAATTCTAAAATTACTTAAGCACAATCTGAGATGCTTATAGCTTATAGATCCACCTTTAGCAACATTCACTTCAAGCAACGGTATTCTGTATGGCTTTATTAGTCGGTTACATCATTATGGAGGAATTTGGGCCCACGCTTCTTTACAGTGGTGCTTCATTTCATTGAGGTTTGCGGGAATTTAGCTCTCTTAAGTTCCCAGCACAGCATTTCAGTGGAGCTGAGGTCTGGACTTTAACTGGGTCGTTACAACACCTTGATTATTTTCTTTCTCTGTCATTCTGTTGTTGACTTGCTGCTATGCTTGGGGATCACTGCCCCTTACATCATCTGGTTTGGGCCAAGCTTTAGGTGTGGGACAATGGCTTCACATTTGACTCTAGAACACTTTACAGAGGAGTTGATGGTTGACTCAGTGACTGCAGGGTGCGAGGTCCTTTGGCTGCAAAACAAGCCTAAACCATCAGACCTCCACCTCCGTTCTTGACAGTCAGTATGAGGTGTTTGTGCTGATATGCTGGGTTTTCTGTCTATCACTTTGGTCTTGTCTGTCCAAAGCACAGAAGTCTTCTGATTTGTTCAGATGCAACTTTGCAAACCTAAGCCATGCTGCCATGTTTTTTCAGAGAGAAGAGGCCTTCTCCTTAAAACAGTTTCAAACACATCATACATAATTGTACTGCCGTTATCTTTAATATTGAACATGCTAACTGAGACCTGTAGAGTCTGAGGTGTGTTTTTTTCACTCTAGGCATTGCATGGTCTGACCTTGAGGCATCAATTCTTTGGATGAGTGGAGGCTGTCTTGAATGTTTTCCACTGGTGAGTAATCTTTCTCACTGTAAATTGTTTGGAAATGGCTTTGCATCCCTTTCCAGACTGATGGGTAGCAACAATTGCCTCTCTAAAGATCATTGCTGATGTCTTTCTTCCCTGGCATTGTGTGAACACACACCTGAATGCGGCAGATAAGCAAACTTCCAAAATTTCAGCTTTTCTCTAGAGGTGGTCACACTTGTTGATGATCAGTTAATCATGTGCACTTGATTAGCAGTGCCTGGCTGCTACTTCCCCTTTTAATTCTTATGGAAGCGGTAAGGGTGTATTCAGGGTTTTACATACTGCTTCTGCATGTTGGCTTTTTTTTTTTTTTTTGAGGTAGTGAAATATTTCACGTGTTGTTGTTCACATATTTTTCCACATGAGTGTATAAACACCCACCTGAGGATTCAGAAACCACATTTGGGGTAATTCTCGCCACAATTTGTTTCTGCAGAAGCACATTTTTGACACACAGCTGCTCAGTGAACACAACAGTAATTTCCATTGTATGCTGGTAATTATAGGTAGATTCTGTTTGTTTCCCCCTTTCTTCGTTTTTCTGTTTATTAGAGGTTTTAGGGAGAGGAAATCCTCATTCTCTGCAATACCAGCTACTTTTTCTGTCTCCAGTACAATGAAATCCATCTGTTAGTCCTTAAAAAACACAATTGTGTGGTTATGTCACTGCTACATTTTTTCCACTTTGCCAGTCTGTTCAAGTATTTCAGACTGCTGTGATTGAAAGGCTGACATTAGCAGCAATAACACTGTCTTGACTTCCACAAATCTAATGATTCTGAAGAAATAATAATAAACAGACTACCTCTGTGCAAGCACATCAGTGTTTACCTCGCCAAGTGTCATCAACTTTGTAAAGAGCCTCCTCCCTCATCGGAACCCACATGTCCTGATTGTTAGCGTTGAGTAAAGGGCTCATTGAAGATGTGGATAAAGATGATGAAGAGGGGGATGAAGAGCTGTGCCATGACCTCTTCTTTAGGCACTGCTGAATCACACTGTATTCAGGGTATAGGAACTGTAGAAGGTCATCCACACTTTTTATTGTCTCCAAACTGAGCTGGTCATTTGACTGCAACAGAGCATGGGGGGGAAAGAAGAATAGAGAGATTATACTTTTTACATATGTAGTCAGCACAAAGAGTAAAAAGAGTTATGTAGACAGAAAATGAACCTAAAAGATGATAAACAAACGTCACAAATCTTGCAGCTAAGAGGGTGTTTTGGTTGTGTAATAAAATAGAAATTATTTAAAAACACTCTTTTTATAGTTTGGCTTCAGAACGATTTAGTTGTGTATTTTTGGTGAAAAATGGTTTGATACAGTGGAATTTACAGCATGGAGTTTGCTGGTTTGTTCTGGATAAACAGTGAATACCTCAGCTGCCAATGTGTTGTAACATGTTGTTTTTGGCTACTGTTAGTTAAGAGCATGCATGTCCTCTCTTCACCTGCACACACTGCTATTTTTTAATGACAAAAAAAAAAAGAAAAAAAATCCAAAGCAGGAAAATTTAATTTGAGAATACACATAGGGTATACATAAGTCTACAAATAAATACACAGTATATATAGCACTATGTAAAAGTCTTGAGTCACCTTCATTTCTTTGTATTTTGCTAGGAAATTGGGAAATAGGTGCAGCGATTTATTGAAATAACAACAGAGTTTGTGCAATTCTAACAAGCTTGAAAGTCAATATTTGGTATGACCACCTTTATTCTTCAACACAGTCTGAACTTAAGAGAGTTCAGAGTGTGTTGAATAATAAAGGCACACTCTTCTAATTTCTATAAGTAGTCTTCAGGAATAGTTCTCCTGGCTTCTTGAAAGACATCCAAAGCTCTTCTTTGGATGTTTCTGCCTTTTGTTCTGTTCTCTGTCAACATGATCCCACACTGCTTCAATAGTGTTGAGGTCCGGGCTCTGGGGAGGCCAATCCATAACTGATAGTGTTCCACTGTGTGTTTTATGTATCCAGGTATGGTTTTACTGCACTGGGAGTGGGTTTTTCATTGTCTTGCTGAAAAATTAAGGTATTGCATGGTGGATCTAAATCTGATGGCACTTTTTTTGCATACAAGATTCCATCAATTTTGATAGTCCCCAAAACAAGTGGTTGAAATGCAGCAAAACCATGACAGAGGCTCCACCGTGTTTTATAGATGGGCACTCACCGTCCTACCTCTCTCCTAACCTCCAACATATCAGTTGTGATTTGAATGAAACCTTTAACATTTGGATTCATCACTCCACCACATGTGTTGCCCCCTGTTTTCACTCCAGTTCTTGTATAATGTGGCATACCTAAGCCTTTCCTCCCTGTTTCTCCACCTTAAGCCTTCTTGACAGCCACCCTTCCACTGAGATTATTTCTGATGAAGCTTCAGTGAACAGAAGATGGATCAACTGAAGGTCCAGATGCATCTCTTAGGTCCTGTGTCAGGTCTTTGATTGCTTTCCTTCATATTTCTTAAGGACATGACTTTCAGATACGGTTCATCTGCTGTAGATAGGTTTTAAGCCTGGCACTTCTTTTTTCCTCCACTTGTATAGTTTCCCCTAGTTGTTTCAAGACATTGCACATCGTGCTAAAGAGCCATTTTATGCCTGTCAAACTGTGTCATCTTTGGCATTTTTCATAGATTTGGCTACAAAAATGAGAACAAGTTTTGTGTTTTTGTGACAGCTGCTGGTAATAAAGTGCCTAAAGATACAATTTAAAATTGGTTCTTTGCTAAGTTGTCTTTTATGTGCAGACAAAACACTGCTTAATCCCTTCAGTTAGGAGCCTTTTTATGCTTGAATGATTCATAGGTCAGTCTCAACTGGCTTAACAAACAAAAAACATTCATCTGAAAATTAGCAGGTACACAGACAATAAGTGAAAAAGCAGCCAATGTCCAAAGAAAAACTTTGAAAGAACTTCAGAAATCCTGGATAACTATAGCTCAATGGCACTTTAAAAAAACTACAAGAAAGTCTGGCTGCTTAGAAGGAAAATATAAAGAATTGAGGGGTGACTCAATGGTTTTGCGTAGTACTGTATGAATCATCCAGAGTTACTCTACTATAATCTAAAAACAAAAGACAGAGCTGGAAATGAGCATAACAGGTCAGCTTCCATTGAAGCCTCCTATGTAAGAGCTTTTGGAGTTTACTCTAGGACAACACTGGGCCTCCTTAAATAGACAAACGTAATGGAGATTATTCAATGTGGTGGATGAGATCCATACAGTAAATCAGTTTAAAGCAGATATCACTCTATAAACCCTTCCAGCTGTGAGTCATTCCCTTAATGATTTTCCCGCCATCATGATAAACGACTCTCTTCTGTTTTAATAGAGTAGATGAAAGATGAGAGATTAACGGACTAATAGACGCTGCTGTATTATCTGACTAAATGTCAGCAGGGAGTTGGTCTTTGAGTGTCACATTTGAAGTCTTCCTGGGAACATGGGTGGGTTGTTTAATTTTCCAGGCTAAGAGAGAGCAGACTGGCACAGCTGGCACTGCCTAAACAGAAACTGGATCTCTGCAGTGTTATCACTATTTCCATTTATCTCTTTCTGTCTGCCTCCCCCCTCCTTTTTCATTTCCCTCCATCCGTCTTAACAAATATCAACATACTTTACTGTCATTATTAACCTCCCCTTCATAGCAGTTTTTTATGTCCACCTGTTACTATAAATATGGAATTCTGTATTTAGTGTAAAAAAAAAAACTGCATAAAAATCTGTATACACGAAGCTCCAGCTTGATGATCCATGACAACTTCATGGTGGCACTACTGGAAATAAGAGATGCGGTTTTTAGACCATATCTGCTTTTGAGATACCTAAGTTAAAAGAACCAACACTGGTCTTGTTTCCACCTCAGTGAACCCAGAACCTTTAATCCCAGCAACTTTTTTAATGTTCTTTCAGACAGTTGTTTGTCTGTGTTTCTCCCCAGTCTCTAAAGGCCTGTAGACAGCTGTTTTTACACATGAGACTCCTTTGCACTCCGTCATCCCCTGAGCTGTGCTACACGTGTAACTTTTGTTTTGGATGGAAATAGCTGTCAGGTGATATAAATCTATCTGACAGCCATTTTGCACATTTATAAACTATAAAATAGAGCTGAGTGCATTTCTAAAAATATAGTTGATCAACTTCAGCAGAACAGAAAAGAACATACTTGCCCTTTTTGTACGGAATTAATTCATGGATCTTTTGATCTTTTGATTTCCTATTAATCTTTTGACCAACCTAGGTTGCTATTTAAAAACAGTAGAAAGAAAAGTTTGTGGTATATTTACTGTAGAATTGTTTAGCGCTGTACTTCTCATTACAGAGCAGATGACAGACTCTTCTCTCTCATTTTGCCCTTTTTCTCCTGCTCTTCCTCCTCTCTTGCATTGTTAGTTGATCACATAACATGAGGTAATCGCTAAGGGACCGTGAAGTCATAATTGACTGATCTTGCATCCATTGTGTCTAACATCAGGCATTGCTGGCGTATAGACACACACATGTGCACACACCCATTCATTTCTCACTCTTATTATTATTGCTGTTGTTGTTAGTAGCTGTAGTAGTAGTAGTAGTAGTATTACAACCACATTAAGTCTGAAGTTATTGTGACTTAAACACAGTTTAAAAAAGATACATACACGTATGGAAAAAGTGCTCAGAAGAAAAACAAGTCCTCTATCTTAAGCGTGAAAAGCACTATGACTCATTGTTGTCATAGATGTTTTTGATAAGTCTGAAGTTTTTCACTTATGCACCGAGCAGCTTCCACTAAATGAGGTCTACTTTCCTAGAGCAGGAAACCAAACACCGAACCATTTCCTGGCTGGCTCGTAAACAGCCTTTGTTGTCAGGTAAACTTTCAAAACCATGCTGACTTTTGTTTTTTTCTTTCTTTAGTCATAACTTAATAACATCACAGAAACAAGCAGTTGCTTTACAAAACAAAACAAAAAAAGTTGTGTAAAACAAATGCATTATATAAATGCATATCTTCTAATTTTGTGTAATGAAAACCAAATGATAACCTCTATATTTAGAAATCTACTCCATGTTTCTGTGATCATACTATTTGTATGATTTATTAATAAGTTGCTTTCTAGAGGCTGCAAGGATTCTTCTTATAACTGGTTCTTAAAGTTTCTTATAATTTGTGTTTTAGGCTTTTGAAGGATTTAGGTGTCCCACAGGGATCAATACTTGGCCCCCAGCTGTTAATGTTATACATTAATAAGTTATATTACAATATAACTTATTAATTAAATATAATAGTTATATTGTTATACAATATAAATTATCTGATAATATCACACAATCTAAACATTTTACAAAGGAACATCAAATGTTCACTTCTATGCGGATGATACCATCTTGTGTGCAGCCAGCTCTATGGTGAGGAATCTTCATGTTTTAAGTTTTCACTGAAAGAAAAACTGTTTGCACTTGACTACTGTTAGTTTTGGAGTATGCATTTGCATTCAAGCACCTAAGAAGATGGTGTTTTCTTTAATCTAAAGTGCATTACAGTTTTTTTTGTTTACATAGTATACAAAAATGATGCCACTTTCTTTAGGTTCTGATAAATCTACCAAATTAGATTCACATGATACAATCTGGTGGGAAACTAAATATATTCCATGACTCAGTAGCTTGTAGAAGAAACTTTGCCAGCAGTAACTGGAAGCAATTTTTTTCTCTATGACTATCAATCACATGCATTTTTGTGGAGGAATTCTCTTTATAGTGCCCCATATATTGAGGTTTGTGGACATTTGTTTTTACGCTACTTGCTTCATCTCCCACACAATTTTTTTTAGGTTGAGGCCTGGACTTTAACTGGACTAAAGCAGCATTTTATTGTTTTTATTTTATTTTAATTTCTTTTTAGCCATTTTATTATAGTCACTGCTCTACTTGGGCTCATTGTCCTTCTACATCAATGGTTCCCAAACTTTTTTTGCTTGGCCCCCCTTTGTTTAGTAAACAATTAAGCAAATACGAGTAATCTGCAATAAATTACAGGTAGTAAGGAAATACACTACTAACTCTTTTACGCTACGTCCACACCTACATGGGTGTTTTGGAAAACGCAGCTGTTTCGTCCACACGTAAACGGCATTCCAAATCACCGAAAACTGAGATTTTTTAAAACTCCCTTTTTGCGTTTACGTGTGGACGAGCAATACAGAGTTTGTCACAGATTAACAGTATTTTGTTTCTATCTTCAGGTTTTACACATGCAGTTACTGTCCCTCTATTTAGAAAGGCAGAGGCATCACGGTGTAATTATTTTACATGCAGTTGTTTTTTTCCTGTGTAATAATATTCAACATTACTATCAATACATTTTTCAAAAAATGCCTCTCTGTGCAAAATGGGTTTTAAAACATAAACAGCTGTAGGATACTGTTTGTCCATGATTTAGACAGGGGGGACAAATTGTGGCAGGATCAGCCTCATATTATTTGTATCCCACTGTAACTTTACTGTATAAAGAGCTAACATCTCCAAAATGTCAGGAGTACAAGCCTAAACCATCAGACCTCCACCTCCGTTCTTGACAGTCAGTATGAGGTGTTTGTGCTGATATGCTGGGTTTTCTGTCTATCACTTTGGTCTTGTCTGTCCAAAGCACAGAAGTCTTCTGATTTGTTCAGATGCAACTTTGCAAACCTAAGCCATGCTGCCATGTTTTTTCAGAGAGAAGAGGCCTTCTCCTTAAAACAGTTTCAAACACATCATACATAATTGTACTGCCGTTATCTTTAATATTGAACATGCTAACTGAGACCTGTAGAGTCTGAGGTGTGTTTTTTTCACTCTAGGCAT